CATAACCCCTCTGTTTCGTTTATACCTCTCTTTACTCCAAAATAAAACTTCCTGTATTACCTTAGATTTAGTTTGTTGAATATAGAGTTTCTAGGCAGTCTATAATGTGAAAATTGTTCCCTCTCCTTCAATCATGGCAATAGTTTTCCTGAGCATATTATTTTATGTTGGCTGTCATTTAGAGCTTTGAGAAGTCAGCTATTCTTTTGATGTTTTTTTTCTTCATGACTTGTAGTTTTTCTTGCAGCCTTCAATACCCCTTTCCTGTTCTACATACTTAGTGGTTTAACTATGAGATGCCATGAAAATTCTCTTGTCTGGTCTTGTTTTTTATATATTCTGTGTGCTTCTTGTATTTTTATGGTTTCTTCCCTTAGTTTGAAGCAGTTTCCTTTTATTTCTTATTGAAGGTCTTGTCTTTGCCTTGGGCTTGGGATTCTTCTCCCTGACCTGTGCCTATAATTTGGAAGTTTAATCCTTTCCCTGTTGTCTCACATAAACAATACTTTCTTGTCATTCACTCTACCAACTGAGTTACAACCCCAGCCCCACAGCTCACTATCTTCTGATTACATTACCTCACTCTGTGCTCTCTGTAAGAAAGGCTTCTTTCCCCAATTGTGTTTAGAGGAGGTGACATTTTCTTATGTTTAACAAAGCTGCTGTTAATTTCCAGGTGACAATCTGAAGCCACTGTAGGTAATTATGCATGCCATCAGGAGTGTTTTGCAAGCAGGAAGGATTCCTTGGGGAATGAAAAATATTTCTCTTACTTCTTATAATGGGATATTATTTTTACTCTTGTTTTGTCCACAAGGACTGGGATCACCTAATCCACATAGACATAAATGACCTGGGGAGAATAGCTCACACACGGGAAACCCAAGATGTTCCTACTCCACTGTTTCCCTGAAAATAGGAAAGCGAACTTTCCATTGGATGGTATGACTTTCTAACAACCTCAGTGCCAGAACTGCCCTTTTCCAGGTGACATGATAATTATGCATCTAGAGGGAGATGAGGTGATGACATTTCTTCCTTATAACTGTTTCTTAGGCCCTCATTGTACATGGATGTTAATCAGAGGCCCATCTGGGTGAGCGTTTCTTTTTTTCTCTTCATTAATAGTAATAACTGAAAGCAAGTGGTAGAATGAAGCAAGCATTTCTGTAATGCAGTGATTAGAAAATTCTCTGTTTAGAATTTTACTTTTGCGCTATAATGTATCATAAGCAAGCACAGCAGATACTTGTAGACATAAAGTATCACTCTAATGATCTGTAAAGACCATAGATTTCACTTACTATGATTTCTGAATATAATATATGTGACAGTAGAAAAGGAGATATTGGAAAGAGGACAGGGCCTAGCAGAAGTTTGGATAGAGACAGGAAAGGCTAACAGGGTGGAGGCAACCAATGGGTATTACATATTGGATGAAAGCCTCATGAAAGTCATCTCTTTTTACAATGAATGTGCATTCATGTCTATGTAAAAAGTGGCTGTAAATGGAATATTTGAATGAACATACCTGACTATGGATTCTCCTGAGTGTATTATACTCTTGTACTTCTAAAAGCATAGTTCCTCCTATCTAAAGGCAGCTGTGTTAATTTTCCATCTCTCTCACAAAACACCTGAAATGGCTTACATAGTGAAACACAAAGAACACATTGGTTTTCAGGAGTATATTTATAATATTAAGATACATTTAAATTATATTTTGTATTTTTCATTTTACTACGGTTCTCAACTTATGCATTGATTTATAAATATTAAACTTGGAATATACAACAAATAATTTAGGGTTTATCAGTAATTTTCTGTTCTATTGAGTTTGCATGTACTTAGAAATTCTTTTGTTGTTTTTCTTTTTTGAGATAGAGTTTCTCTGTAGCTTTGGAGTCTGTCATGGAACTTACTCTGTAGACCAGACTTGCCTTTAACTCACAGAGATATGCCTGCCTCTGCCTCTGCTTCTGAAGTGCTGGGATTAAAGGCATGTGCCACTACCACCTGGCCATAGTTAGGAGAAATTCTAAGGAGAGTTTCACTTCATGGTCTAGTAAAACATAAGATATTCTTACCGTTCTATAAATAAGCTTATATTTTCATAGATTTGCTTCTTCTATTACAATAATTTCTAATGAAGTAGATCTTTTGTGCATCTCAAATGTATTTAGAAATCTTAGTTCACTTATTCATTAAATTATTGTAAAGTTATCTTTATAAAATATAGACTGGATAATTTTCAGTAGGAGTATGATGTTTTAATTCAATTGAGTTCATTTTTAATATTTTGAGTTTTTAACTTGAACCTTGTTACATTGATTCCTACATAAATTTCAGTAAGCTTTTCATTGGCAGTGAGAAATGTTTTTATTTCTTAAATAATGTAAAATTATTTAAAGTCAAAATCCCAAAGGTTTCCTCTAGTAGTTACAAAATACATTGTTCCTTAAGAGAGGCATTCACAAAATATGCCAAGTAAATTTAAGTTTAGCTGCTGAACATTGTATGTCCATTTTTATATTGCTGGACTATCGCTTACTAATGTACTTAGGAGACTAAATGGAATGGGAAGACAGGTGTGGTCACAAACACCTGTGATCCCAGCTATTTGGAGGCTAAGGCAGGAGAATTGCAAGTTTGATTGCAGCCAGTCTGAACTATGGATTGAGACCACCCCTCTCTGTCACTGTTTCTCACCTCAAAAATACAGCAAAATCATATTGGTAAACAGATAATATAGAATTATGAAATCGTTGTTTTTGAAAAAATGGAATAAAATGATGCTAGTAAATGTTATTAAGTCTCAGGACACAGGGCATCACACCATGAAAACCAAATGATGGAAGCATGAGTTTATGTTTGCAAGCATTATAGAGTTTTCAGTTTGTTTTGAGTAATTCACATTAAAAGTCTGCACTGATGATGAGGCAGGACCCCGTGGATTTGATGCAGTCACCTAGGAAACAGATACACTGTTCATTTTCCTTAAAGTTCATCTATCTCATGAGCATACACGATGTAACTCTCAGGTTTTCACTCAGGTGCCGTAAACATATTCATGTTAGCAGCCTCAGTACACAGTGTGCTCCTGATATATTCTTAGACCCAGCAGTAGTCCAGTCATATCTCTCTCTCTCTCTCTCTCTCTCTCTCTCTCTCTCTCTCTCTCTCTCTCTCTCTCTCTCTCTCTCTCTCTCTCTCTCGCTCGCTCGCTCGCTCTCTCGCTCTCTCTCTCTCTCTCTCTCGCTCTCTCTCTCTCTCTCTCTGTCTCTGTCTCTCTGTCTCTCTGTCTCTCTCTGTCTGTCTCTCGCTCTTGCTCTCTCTCCCGGTGAACATTTTCATATCTTTCCCAGACTTACACCACGTGACCTGTGATCAAGCTCAGGTCTGACTGCTTCCCCACAGTCTCTGCAGTCACTGCTGCTGCTGCTTCATCTCAGGGGAGATGGCTCACAAGTGTCAGACTGCAACATTCTATTCAGTGTCCGTGTGCTGCCAGTTGCAGGTGAGCTAAATTTAATTCAGTTTCTAAAGAGTAACTTATACATTGAAGTTATTTAAGAGTACAAGGCAAATGCTGTGAATTAATACCTTAAATAATCACTATTTATTCCTGTTGGCATTATGTATTTCATAAAGACTTCATGGAACTAATTTGAGTGGCTAATGTCTTCATTTTCTTGAGATTCCTGAAGAATAACTAATATGTTTGTATGTTTACTATGTTACTATCTCCTCAAAGCAGATTGCAAAAACCACCATAAATTCATGAAATAAGACTGTTCTAAAATCAAATACTTTGTTAATAAAAGGGTAAAATTATTTTCTCAGAAGCATGTAGAGCCATGCATGAAGCAGCTCCTGGTTTCTATTGCTGTGAGTCTCTTCAGACAGCTGCCTGCAGACTGCTTTGTATTTTGGTCTGGATCCATTTTATAGTGATGTCATCTCTACTATTGTGAATATTTGTGGATATACTTTGTGTTTACTGCTAACAACTAAGAACTACAATTTAAACTAATGTGAAAACCCAAGCACTGCATTTTTTTCAAATGAAACAAAAGACTTTTCTCAGTTCGTGTATATGTTAACAACTCAGTGTGTAATCATGGAAGCTACAGTTTTTCTGGTCCAGTCTCACCTCCAGTGAATCCCAGAGAAAGAAGCCAATTAATGAAAGAGAAGATATGTCATTTTCTGTAGGTGATAAATAGTTACAAAGCCTGGGTATGAAGTAGAGAGGGTGAAGTCCATAGCTTTGGCATAAGAAAAAAATTAGATTACTATTTTTAACTTATATTATCATCTTTTTATTTTGTTTATAATACATTGCCATACTAATAATTTATAGATGTATAATTAATAAAAATGAGTATTTATATAGTTTGCCCATTTGCAATTTGAAAATTGAAATGTATTACAGTTCTTTTAGTTTGGAGAACAAGGCTAGAATTATTATCATTACTAAATAAAATTACATGTTTTCTTCCTTATTTATTTAAGATTTATGCAGTTTATTGTCATATGTAAGTGTTTTTCCTGCATGTATGTTTGTGCACCACTTGCATGCAATACCAGAGGAGGCAAGAGATTCCCTGTAACTAGAGTTACAGATGGTTCTGAGTCACCAAGTCATTGCTGAGAATCTAACCAGGTCCTTTGCAAAAGTAAAACATGGTCTGAACCACTGAGCCATCTTCCAGCATGTATCCTGGAGCTTTTCTGCATTGAATGTGGCTGAGAATGCGTTTATTATGTACACTATACTATATACACAGGGGATAATATGGAAGGTATATAGAAATATAGGACATTTCCAATGTGGAATGTCAAAAAATTAGAAGATAGGTTAATCAAAAGTAGGTAGGTAAAACAGAATGTTGATATAGACATACTGACCATTGCATCACAAGTTTGATGAATATTATTTTTTTAGCTATACGTAATAAGTTTCCTCTATGCTCTTAAGATGAAAACACTTTCCACATATGTCCTCATTGAAGAATGTCCTTTATTTCCAAGTTGGACTTGGAGTCCTCAACAATATGTTTCTCCTTTTTTGCTACGTTTTCATAATCCTAGTTCATAAATCTAAGCTCATGGATCTGATCTCCTGTCAACTGACCTTCATCCACATAGTGCTGATCCTCTCTGGAGAGGATATTTGGCTTACAGGTATATTTGAGTCACTGAACTTTGAGAATGACTTCAAATGTAAGGCAACTTTTTACGTAAACAGAATAATGAGAAGCCTCTCCATCTGCATCACCTGCCTCCTGAGTGTGTTCCAGGCTGTCACTATTAGTCCCAGCACCCCTTTGCTGGCAAAATTTAAACATAAACTAAAAAAATACATGATCTATGCTTTCTTATTTATTTGGGCTCTCAATTTGTCATTCAGTACTAGGTGGATCTTCTATGTTGGGGCCTTTACCAATATGAGTGAGACCAACCAGATAAAGATCACTAAATATTGCTCACTCCTCCCCATGAACTACATCATCAGGGCAATTATTTTAACAGTGACAACCTCCAGAGATGCATTTATTGTAGGAGTTATGATGACCACAAGTGCATACATGGTGATCATCTTGTTCAGACATCAGAGGCAATGCAAGCATCTTCACAGCCTTAGCCACCTGAGGGCTTCCCCTGAGAAAAGGGCCACGCAGACCATCTTGATGCTGGTGGTTGTCTTTGTGGTCATGTACTGGGTGGACTTCATCATCTCATCCTCTGTACTTCTGTTATGGATGGCTGACCCAGCTGCCAATGCTGTTCAGAAGTTTGTGTTGAATGTCTATCCCACGATAACTCCTTTGGTACAAATCAGTTCTGATAACAGAATAATCAATATGCATTCTTTTATGTTTCTGGACAAAGTACTACAGAATCCTTTAAGTTCATAGTACACTATAAGTTGACATTTCCATGAGAATTTTCCTAGTCTTTGCTTTTTACTTTCAATTATAAATGTTCCCTGAATGCTTAATTTGAGTATTTGACTTTCTGCTAGGTCTCTGGTATAGGGAGCATAATTGTTTCAAGACACTATGAGATGAAGTTCTTAGCACAAAGGAGATTTAGTTGACCCAGAAAGACAAAGGGAAGGGAATAAGAGACCAAGACAGAAGATAGACTGTGAGTGAGAACAAGGGGCAGGTGGAAGGGGTATTTGAACTGGGGGATACAGAGGACTGCCTCTGGGTATAGAAGATGTGGCCCATTGTCAAATGGCAATTTATAAAGGAAAGGGGGAGCTGGAGAGATGGCTCTGTGATTAAGAGCACTGGATGTTCTTCCAGAGGATCAGGGTTCAATTTCCAGCACTGATGTGTCAGCTCATAACTCCAACTCCAATTTCAAGATCCCTGACATTCTCATACAGGTAAAACACCAATGCACATCTAAAAAAAAGCATCTAGTGTGATGATCATGTGATTTTTGTTTCTCAATTTGTTTATATGATGGATTAAATTGATGGATTTTCATATGCTGAACCATCCCTGCATCCCTGGGATGAAACTTATTTGATCATGGTGGATGTGTTTTCTGATGTGTTCTTGATTCCAATTTCTCAGTATTTTATTGAGTATTTTTGCATCAATGTTCATGAGGGTTATTGGTCTGAATTTCTCTTTCTTAGTTGTGTCTTTGTGTGGCTTGGGTATCAATGTTTTTGAAGCCTCATAAGCAGAGTTTGGCAAACACCCTTCTGTTTCTATTGCATGGAATGCTTTCAGGAGAATTGTTATAAGCTCATCTTTGAATTTCTGGTAGAATTCTGCACTGAGGCCATCTGGTCCTGGGCTTTTTTTTTACTTGGGAGACTTTTGATGACTCTTTCTATTTCTTTAGGGGTTATAGGTCTATTTAAATTGCTTATCTGTTCTTGATTTAATTTTGGCAGGTGATAGCTATCTTGAGAGCTGTTCACTTCCTTTAAATTTTTGAATTTTGTGGAGGACAGGTTTTCAAAGTATGACCTGATGATTCTCTGGATTTACTCAGTGTCCATTGTTATGTTCTCCTTTTCATTTCTGATTTTGTTAATTTGCATGTTCACATTCTGCCATTTGTTGAGTTTGGATAAAAGTTTGTCTATCTTGTTGATTTTTATCAAAGAACCAACTCTTCGTTTCATCGATTCTTTGTATCATTTTCCTAGTTTCTACTTTATTGAGTTCAATCCTCAATTTGATTATTTCTTGGCATCTACTCCTCCTGGATGAGTTTACTTCTTTTTGTTCTAGAGCTTTCAGTTGTGCTGTTAATTCTCTAGTGTGACTATTCTCTAGTTTCTTCATGTGAGCACTTAGTGCTATGAACTTCCCCCATAGCACTGCTTTCAGAGTGTCCCGTAAGTTTGGGTATGTTGTGCCTCCATGCTCACTGAGTTTTAAGAAGTCTTTAATTTCTTTTTTATTTCTTTGACCCAGGAGAGGCACAATTGTGCATTATTCAATTTCCATGAGTTTGTAGGGTTTCTGCAATTTTTTGTTGAACTCTAACTTTAAAGCATGGCAGTCTGATAAGATACATGGGCTTATTCCAATTTTTCTGTATCTGTTGAGGTTTGCTATGTTGCCAAGTATGTGGCCAATTTTTGAGAAGGTCCCATGTGGTGCTGAGAAGAAGGTATACTCTTTTGTGTTTAAATGGAATGTTCTATAGATGTTTGTCAAACCCAATTGGGTCATAACTTCTATTAGTTCCTTTGTTTCTTTAAGTTTCTGTCTGGTAGTCCTGTCTAGTGGTGAGAGTGGGGTATTGAAGTCTCCCACTATAAGTGTGTGAGGTTTAATGTGTGGTTTTAGTTTTAGTAATGTTTCCTTTATGAATGTGGATGCCTTTGTGTTTGGGGCATGGATGTTCAGAATCGAGACTTTATCTTGGTGCATTTCTCCTGTGATGAATATGAAATGACCTCCTTCATCTCTTTTAATTGATTTCAGTTTAAAGTCTAGTTTGTTAGATATTAGGATTGCTATCCTTGCTTGTTTCTTGGGTCCATTTGATTGCAAAATCTTTGTGCAACCCTCAACTCTGAGGTAACATCTGTCTTTGAAGCTGAGGTGTGTTTCTTGTATGCAGCAGAAGGATGGGAGAGTTTGACCATTAATACTGAGGGATATTAATGACCTTTGATTGCTCATTCTTGTTGGTTTTAGAGTGGTTGCTGTTAGTGTAATTGTTTGTGGACTTCCACCCCTTTTCTCTTTTAGCTGTTGGTAAAGTGGGATTATCTATTGCCTATGTTTTTCTGGTTGTAGTTCCTTGGATTGGAGTTTTCCTTCTAGAACTTTCTGTAGGGCTGGGTTAGTGAATATGTAGTGTTTAAATCTGGTTTGGTCATGGAATTTCTTGTTTTCTCCATGTATAGTGATTGAAAGCTTTGCTGGGTATAGTAGTCTGGGCTGGCATCCATGGTCTCTTAGTGTTGGTAGAATATCTATCCAAGACTTTCTGGTTTCCATGGAGAAGTCAGGTGTAATTCTGATAGGTTTCTTTTTATATGTTATTTAAACTTTTTCCTTAGCTGCTCTAAGTATTCTTTCTTTATTTTGTATGCTTAGGGTCTTGATTATTATGTGGTAAGGGGACTTTTTTGTGGTCCACTCTATTTGGTGTTCTGTAAGCTTCTTGTACCTTCATTGGCATGTCCTTCTTTAGGTTGGGAAAGTTTTCTTCTATGATTTTGTTGAATATGTTTTCTGCCCCTTTGAGGTGTTTTTTTTCTTCACCTTCTTCTATACCTATTATTCTTAGGTTTGGTCTTTTCATGGTGTCCCATATTTCCTGGATATTTTGTGTTAGGGATTTGTTGGACTTAAGATTTTCTTTGGTCGATGAATTTATTTCTTCTTGTGTGTCTTCAACACCTGAAATTCTCTCTTTCATCTCTTTTATTCTGTTGGTTATGCTTGCATCTGTAGTACTTGACTGTTTATCCAGTTTTTCTATTTCCAGCATTCCTTCAGACTGTGTCTTTTTTATTGTCTCCATGTCAGCTTTCAATCCTTGCATTATTTGAATTATTTCTTGGAATTTTTGCTTCATATTTCCTCCCTTTCTTGCATTTGTTGGATTTTTTAGTTTGTTTTTTCTTCCATTTCCTTAAGGGATTTTCTCATATCCTCTTTGAGGGCCTCTATCATTTTCATGAAGGTGTTTTTAAGGTCATTCCCTTCTGCTTCATCTACACTGGGGTGTTCAGGTCTTGCTGGTGTAGAATCTCTAGACTCTGGTGGTGTCATATTTGTTTTTTCTGTTGCTGAGTGTGTTCTTATATTGCCTCTTTCCCATCACTTCTTCCATTGGGTGCAGAAAGAGCCTCTTGCTCTCCTGGTGGGTGGGCGACCAGGGTTCCCTTTCGGTGGGTGCAAGCAAATCCAATACTCTCTGGTCTCTGCTCTCTGTCCTCTGCCCTCTGCCCTGAGTGCGGGGCAGGAGTAGACTGGCTCTCTCTGCAGGCACCTGGTCTCTTGGTCCTGTCAGGGGGCTCGTCGACCTGGCATTGGTCCCCAGGCCAGGAGATCCAAGAGAGGGCAAGCCGGAGGAATTCGGGTCTAAGATGGTGACCAAGAGCTCACCTCTGCCCTCTGCCCTGAGTGTGGGCAGAAGTGGACTGAATCTAACATTTTTATTCAGCTTTTTTCTGACCATTTTCAATAACCATTTGTAATCAACCCCCTAAATGATGATAAATATGCATAACCCATTGAATGACAAAAACCTATCCACTCCACCTCTTGGGAACGTGGGTGTCATGTTCTTAAAATTATTTCCTGCTTTCTGGGGGTGATGGCATTTTTAGGAGACCCTAAAATTTTTTAGATAATTGTCACATCTTGAAAGATGTAGCTGTATCATTCGTTGTCCAGTCTCTGTGTAAGGGGATAATACAGTGCTTATCTCTGTTCCTGGATAGAGTAGTCTATGAGGCTGGATCATCTCAGCTAACCACCTTGAAAATTGTCCTGAGCAGTTTGTAGTCCAAAGTTGATCTTTGGGTGATGTTGGTCATCTAAGTAGCATTATCACAGTCCAGGTGGAATCATTGTTGTAGGGCCCCATCCTAATTATAGAGACTCCAAAGGTTGCTGTTAGGAATTGTCAGGGTTCACTGCAGAAAACTTAAACATTTAAAAAGTTATATATACATATATATATATATATATATACACACACACACACACACATATATATATATCAGATCTCTGAGAGGTTAAAGGACCACAACTTGTTAAGTTCATCAAGAGTACAAAAACTTCATTCCTAGTTATTTGTTAGAGACTCAGACCTGAAATCACATACAGGAAGCTGGAATTAGTTAGTATTGTTTGTCACCATTAATATCATGTCAGAAAGTTTAATATATATTAATTTTATAAATTTTGAGATAATATTTATACTTAAGAAATATTCTAGAGAGTCAAAATAAAACTGAAGAATTATGCAATTAATACCAATAGAATAGTCCCTTAATTTTGATTTTTTCTTCTGCCCCACATCAGGTGCCTCTTCTGATATGAGACAGAAATTTTAGATTGTCCTTTATCAAGAATTCTTGGGCTTAGAGAAATAGAGAGCCATGCTCCAAATTCCAAATCCAGTTTTAATTTTTAATTAAACTGGGACTACAAAAAGACTGTCTTATATGTCTGTAGAGAACAACAGAAACAACATTTTGGAAGATTTATGATATTTTATACTGCTGGAAATGGGCCATACCATTAAGCCAACTTATTTTGGGGGGTGGGCCTTTTCTGTGGGTGAATCATCTTTTTCCTTTAGATATCTCATTTGTTCAGTGATCTTCAGATCCCTTAATTGGATGCCTTCATTATCCTGGAAAGACAAAGATAAAACCCTGTCCCAGCCCTAACTTTGGGGAGTTTCCTTTTTGGCATGTTATATCTGATAAAATAAAAGACATTTATTAGTCTTATATGTTAGTTTAATTTGAATTGTCACGCTATCTGATGAACTATTACCACTTCTCATCAAGAGGTCTGTCCTGTTTGAATCTAATCTTCCCCAATGTAACACGTGCCCTAGTTTCCATTTTGAAGTCAACACATCTTTAGAGGAGCAGGCTGATATAAGCATACTTTAGTTTATGGTTTGTTTCTGACATTGGAGGAATGTTAATGTAGGTTTTCAATTGCTGTAACAAATCATGTCTCCATAAATTCATTGCTGTTAGCCACATATGGCTTTAATTATCTTCTCTGTCCTTTCAGTCCTATACATTTGGCACAAACTTGCACTTTCTTTTACTTGAGATAAAGTTCCAATTCCTAAAAGCTGAACATTTACCTTCTGAAGAGGTCAATTTGGATGCCAAGATTTTGGTGTAATTATTGTTACATCTGTATCTGTGTCTACAAAACACTCAATTGCAATGCCATTCATTAGTAGTTATAACTTTGGGCTTCAATCATTTACTAGAAGTTTGCCAAAATATTTTCTTTATGGTTTCTCCTGAAAATTGTGTTTTATCTTTTAAAGCTGTTCTGTCATCCAAAGCACTCTGGTTTTTCATAACAGGCACGGAATCTTTTAATTGCACTGTGAAGGAGCTTCCTTAATGCTGACAGGGAATGATTGAACCAAATTTGATATGATAGCCTATGAGAGACCACTCCCCCCCCCATGGTCTTTCCTCCGGACAAAGAGTTACCTTGCCTCTCCCATTTTAATGTGCATTCATTAGTTCAATGTCAGCTTTTGTCATACCTTCTGCATATCCAGAAGGCTCGGACATTCTGTTTGGATTCTCTCTAGAAAAAAAAAATGTTCTAGGAACACGTTACCTCCAATCCCTTTTCAGATGACCTGGTTTACCATAATGAAAACATCTAAACTTTTTTAGTTGTCTTAACTTTTTTAGAAATCACTTCCACCATGCATGTATCATCAAAAGCTTGAAATCCTATATTAACTGTATTTCAAATACATTTATCAGTTGGTGCTGATCTTGACTTTAAATACCTGATTACCCTTATACATTCTGAATTAGCATTTTCAAAAGCCAAAGATTCAATTAATATTTATCTAACTTCAGTATCTGTTATCATTCTATTTACAGCTGAATTCAACCTTTGGAAAAAGTCAGTGAAGGCTTCTTTTAGGTCTTGTGTAATTTTAGAAAATGACTCAGTCCTCTTTCCTGATTTTTCAGTCTTGTTCCAAGCATTCAAAGATGCTGTGCAGCATAGGGCCAACATGTGATTATCAAATGTAATCTGTCCTTCCACAGCATTGTAATTGCCCGCACTGAGGAAGTGATCTTGGGAAATCTCATCACATCTAAGCCCTACCTCATCATTCTATGGTCCTAGCTTCATCTCTCCACCAGGTTCTCCAGTGTAACTGAGGACCAGCTTCCAATGCTGCCATAACCAGATCTTCCAGTCTTGAGCAATAATTTTGTTCTGAGTGGCCCATGAATTTAACATCTGCTTCATAAAAGGTGAATAAATGCCATATGCAACTATTTCTTCTTTAAATCTCTTCAAATCTAACATTTCTGTTGGATCCCAGTTCTGAATATCCTTGGAGACGTCTATCATCTGGTGGTTGTTCTTGAATAGTAATTGGATAAATTAAGATTCGTTTTCTAGTAAACTTGGGCCATTCCTCTTCAGTTTCAGAATGCAATGGTGTGGTAACTTCTGTTCTAAATTCCCCCTTGCATGTGTGAATATTTTTTATATTAGCTTCATTACTCTTTCTAAGGATTTTATCTTACCAGTCAATTTTTCCTATTTGGCACTGATATCAAATAACTTTTTAAGGGATAAAACCAGAATTACCAAAATAATGATGGTTATAATTGGCATTATGTCAATCCCAGCTAAGCTGATTATCCCCCCACTTAATTGCTCCATTTTCAAACCTTCCATTGTGGAACTATAAGGGATCTAATTTACTACAACATCATATTTTGCATTTTAGTGGGGGGAGGGGTCCCTTTTTTAACCCACCCCACCCATTAACAATTCCCAGTTGTTTTACCAGGTCTGTTGAAGGCGGCAGAGAAGTGTGAGACTGGCTGTCACCTTATAGCACAGCTGGGCAACGAACACAGGTGGTGCACTGCCCGGCCAAGAGCGACTGCAGCTGCTCACTTGTGAGCTGAGAGGGTGTGGCGAACACAGCAACAACAGAAGCCTGAGCACGGGTCAAGGCAGCTGACCTGGTGGTGGCAGCAACAAGAGGAATTCATCCAGGGAAAGCCTGCAGCCCATGGGGAGAAGGAGCCTGCCATCGGGAAAGCAGACACAGGGGATATGCAGAAGAGGCACACGTGGCAGGAAGTTAGCACGCAGAGCTGCCTGAAGGCAGAGCGGGCCAGTGGGTGACTACCTCCAGTGGCATTTGCAGCCCAGGTGCCACCTGTGGAGTTTGGAGCCTGTGGAGTCGTCTGGGTGGCAGCTTGAAGCTTTCTAAGGAGGCCGCAATAGGCAAATCCCAGAATTGCTCAGATGGTTTGGGGCAATGGAGGAAATGCCATCCAGCTCTGGTGGCTGGGACAGTGGTGGTGGTCGCTGGTTGTGTGGCTATCTTGTGATTTTGTGCCGCACATTTGGTGCCAGATGATGTATTTATCTAATTGTTCTTTATCAATAAAATTTGGGAGTCAGATATTGGGGTAAGAACCCAAAAGATCAGAGAAGTAGTGGAGAAGCTGCCAGTGACCTCTTCTGCACCACCTGTCTCCAAAGGGCTGAGATCTTCTCTCAACTCGGCCATACTACTTCCTGTCTCCTATCTGTCATCAAACCTCCAAAACCTCTATGGTTAATTTTGGTCAGCTAGTGACTAGCTCTGCCCTCTGACCCAAAACAAGTTTTATTGTCAGAATGCATTCAAAATATCTCACAACACCCCAGTGAGTCTGAGGAAGAATCCAGGGACCTATCAGCAGGGTTTTTGTATGGTTAGGAACAGGCACCATATTCTGGCAGTACCACAACCAACAGTGAAAGGAAAGCTTGCCAGCCACACAGAACTGAATGGAATGTGCTCAGCAGGAGTGTAGGATACAGAGCGTTAAGGGAAAACTCACCAATTAGTCACTGTTGCATGGAGAAAGCCAGCACCTGAAGGTCCTCATGACTAAGCAAGGTGGGGAGCAAGGTCCTGTAGGCTGATCTGAGTTATGAAACCAAAGCACCTGTATTGGCTCAAGATACCCCAGAAACAAGTTCTCTGCCCCACATGGACAAAGGGCAGGGAATAAGAGACCATGAAAGGAGACAAAAGATGAGGGAGAAGGGGAAGGAACAAGGGACAGCAGAAGGGGTATTTGTCCCAGTGAGATAAAGGACTACTTCTAGATATATAGGAGACAGCATGACCATAGGCAAATGGTGGTTTATTTCTGGATTCAATAGTTTGATACCTGATCCTTGGTACTCAGTCTCAGGAGGAAGAAGTGACCAAACAAGGGAATGGACCTTGGGGACTAGCTTCAAGAATGTAATCTAACAGTTTTTAGCAAGGCATGGGGAATGAGGGAGGAGGGAAAGTCCTCCAGGATCATTTTTGCCATTCTATGATCAGTTAGACTCCTTCCAGCTAGCCTATCTAGTCTCAGGGTTTTTTCCCACCTAAGTAACATCATGTATGGGTTCCATCTCATTGGTGGGCCTTAAATCAAATCAGATATTGATTGGTTACTCCAATAACTTTTGTTCCACTATTCCCAGGTGCTGATCCCAGGTGCTGAGATCATCTTTGTGTGAGCTGTTTATCTTTAGGACTGGATCAATCTTGTGTAGATCTGGATGGCCTTGAACTCACAGACATCTGTCTACCTCTTTATCCTGAGCCCTAGTGGCCTGTTTTAGAGTTACTCCAAGATACTTTATATTATTTGAGGTTATTGTAAGAGGTATAGTTTCCCTTGTTTATTTCTCAGTCTATTTTCCAATTGTGTATAGGAGGGCTACTGGTTATGTGTGCTAATTTAGTACCCTGATACTTTGCTGAAAGTGTTAATCAGTTGTAGGCATTTCTTGGTAGAAGTTCTAGGGTCATTTATGCATACTATCACATCACCTGAAAATAAAGATACTCTGGTTTCTTTCTTTCTTATTTGTGTCCCCTCAATGTCCTTCTGTTATCATGTTGTTCTAGTTAAGATTTTAAATATTGCCAGGCAGTGGTGGTGCATGTCTCTAATCCCAGCACTAAGGAGGCAGAGGCAAGAGGATCTCTATAATTTTGACGCCAGCCTGGTCTATAGAGCCAGTTCCAGGATAGGCTTTGAAGCTACACAAAGAAACCCCATCTCAAAAAACAAACAAACAAAAAATACTTCAAGTATTACATAAATTAGGTGTGGGTAGATTGGATGTCCTGTGTTGTTCTTAAAGTTAGTGGAAATGTGCTTTCCTCCATTTAAGTAGACAGTTGCTATGGGCTTGCTATGATTGCATTTATTATGTTGAGATATGTCTGTTGTATCCTTAATATCTCCTGGACTTTTGTTAAGAACAGGTGCTGGATTTTTCAAAGGCCTTTTCTTCAGTTAATGAGATGATCATGTGGTTTTTGTATGTTAGTCTAATTACTTGATGGGTTACATGCATTGAATTATGCATGTTGAAACATTCTTGCATTTCTTGCATGAAGTGTACTTGATCTTGGTGGGTGATCTTTTTGAGGTGTTCTTGGAATCAGTTTCCAAGTATTTTATTCATGTTCATAAGGGAAATTTGCCTCCACTTTTTCTTTGTTGAGCCTTTTTTATTAATTTTTTATTTTAATTTTAAATAGCTTGTTTTACATATCAATCCCAGTTCCCTCTCCCTCCCCTCCTCCCGCACCCCCAATCCCCCCCAGCCTCCCACCCTATTGCCAATTCCTTTCACATAAGGGATATCTAGAGTCTATCATTTCACTCAGGGCAGGGTCCAGGGACTCCCCTGAGAGTCCAGGCTGAGAGAGCATCCCTCTTTGTGCTATGGACACACGATGTCTGTTTGTATTCCAGGGATAGACACTGATCCACTGCTCAGGACCCCATAAGTTGCTCAGGCCTCCTCATTGTCACTCACATTCAGGGGGTCCGGATCAGTCCCATGCTGGCCTCCCAGCTGTCGGTCTGGGGTCCAAGAGCTCTCCCCTGTTCAGATCAGCTGTCTCTGCTGGTTTTGCCAGCCCATTCTTTGCCAATTTGCTCATCGCTCTTCTCTCTCTGTCACTGGGTTCCTTGGGTTCTGTTCAGTATTTAACTGTGGGTGTTTGCCTCTGCTTCCATCAATCACTGGATGAAGGCTCCAGGATGGTTATAGACATCAAGTTCATTATCAGGAATGGGCATTCGAGGTGGTCTCTCCACTATTGCTTAGCTTGCCAATTGGTGTCATCCATTTAGATCACTAGAGGTCACACTGGTGCCTGATCTGTCTTCTAACCTATGATTCCCTCTTCCCCCTATCCTACCCCCCCACTCAACCTTCCTGTTCCCCCATGACCTACTCTCTCGTCCTCTTCTCCCCCTCTCTTCTTCCCAGCTCCCACTCCCTCCCACCCCTCGCCATGTTCCCCATCTGTTCAGAGGATCTTGCCTCATTCCTCTTCTCTTGGGTACTATGTATATCTTTTAGGTTCTTTCCTGTTTCCCAGACTCTCTATCAGTGGAAGTGTAGACTGGCACTACCTGATCATGTCTAAAATCCATATATGAGTGAGTACATACCATGTTTGTCTTTTTGCAACTGGGTTACCTCACTCAGGATGGTTTCTTCCAGTGCTATCCATTTACCTGCGAATTTCAAGATTCCATTGTGTAAATGTCCCACATTTTCTCTATCCACTCTTCAGTTGAGGGGCATCTAGGTTGCTTCCAGGTTCTAGCTATTACAAATAATGCTGCTATGAACATAGTGGAGCAGATGCCCTTGTTGTATGAATTTGCCTCATTTGGATATATGCCTAAGAGTGGAATTGCTGGGTCTTGTGGTAGATTGATTCCCATTTTCCTGAGGAATTTCCATACTGCTTTCCAAAGTGGCTGTACGAGTTGGCACTCCTACCAGCAGTGGAGGAGTGTTCCCCTCTCTCTACATCCTCTCCAGCATAAATTGTCTTCGGTGTTTTTGATTTTAGCCATTCTGACAGGAATAAGATGGTATCTCAGAGTTGTTTTGATTTGCATTTCCCTGATGGCTAAGGATGTTGAGCACTTTCTTAAGTGTTTCTTGGCCATTTTAGCCTCCTCTATTGAGAATTCTCTGTTTAGTTCTGTACCCCACCTTTTAATTAGATCCTTTGATGTTTTGGAGACTTGCTTCTTGAGTTCTTTGTAGATTTTGGAGATTAGCCCTCTGTCAGATGTGGGGTCAGTGAATATCTTTTCCCATTCTGTGGACTGACTTTTTGTCTTGTTGACTGTGTCCTTTGCCTTACAGAAGCTTTTTAGTTTCAGGAGGTCCCATTTGTTAATTGCCGATCTCAGTGTTTGTGCCACTGGTGTTATGTTCAGGAAGTGGTCTCGTGTACCAACTCGTTGAAGAGTATCTCCCACTTTCTCTTCTAAAAGTTTCAGTGTGGCTGGATCTATGTTGAGATCTTTGGTCATTTTGGACTTAAGTTTTGTACAGGGTGATAAACATGGATCTACCTGCAGTCTTCTGCATACCAGTACCCAGTTATGCCAGCACCATTTGTTGAAGATGCTTTCTTTTTTCCATTGTATAGTTTTAGCTTCTTTGTCAAAAATCAAGTGTTCATAGGTGTGTGGGTTAAAATCAGGGTTTTCAATTAGGTTCCATTGGTCTACCTGCCTATTTTTGTGCCAAGCTGTTTTCAGGACTATAGCTCTATAATAGAGCTTGATGTCAGGTATGGTGATGCCTCCTGAAGTTCCTTTATTGTATAGGGTTGTCTTGGCTATCCTGGGCCTTTTGTTTTTCCATATAAAGTTGATTATTGTTCTTTCAAGGTCCTTGAAGAATTGTGATGGAATTTTGATAGGGATTGCATTGAATCTGTAGACTGCTTTTGGCAAGATTGCAATTTTTATTATGTTGATCCTACCAATCCAAGAGCATGGGAGATCTTTCCATTTTCTGGTTTCCTCTTTCATTTCTTTCTTTAAACACTCAAAGTTCTTGATATACAAGTCTTTCACTTCCTTGGTTAAGATTATCCCCAGATATTTGATGCTGTTTATTGCTATTGTAAAGGGTAATGTTTCTCTGATTTCTTTCTCAGTCACTTCATCATCTGTATATAATAGGGCCACTGATTTTTTTTTTAGTTTACCTTGTATCCTGCCACATTGCTGAAGGTGTTTATCAGCTCTAGGAGTTCCCTTGCGGAGTTTTTCGGGTCAGTTATGTAAACTATC